CATTTGGGCGCATGTTGATCGGACACCAGGCATCATGCGCGTATTTATGCACATAGGTAAGGAGATTGAGGCCCTTGGCCCTTCTCTCGCTTTTACTCCAGCCTTCAAGGGATTACGTCTTTCGCCACCCCATTCCCAATACGCCCATACCGTCCAGCTCCCTGAAAGTGCCTCCCCTTCTAAGAGGGATCCTGGTTCAGAGCAGAGAGCGCAGGACACAAAGCCCAGAGACCTGGTATGTGGCCGCAGCTCTGCCACAGTTAGCCTGGTCACTTCGAGCCAATCATTTCTGTTCTCTGAGCCTCGTTTACTTCATCCGTGAAATGGGGCACGTGGATACTTAGAATTTAGAGTTCTAAATCGTTGGTTCCTTGATCCCATCTCCCTTACTCTGGACGGTCTTCCCCTTGCTCACCCTTATCCACTGTCATGTCTTGTGGGAGGGTGGGGGCGGGGGCGGGGCAGAAGCTCTACAGACTCCTCGGCTCTGTGGAGCTCCCTGGACCTCTGAAGGCAGGTCTTCCTTCCTCCTGTACTCCAGGCTTCTGGCGAGGCAGCTGCAAGGATTTCTAGATCTTCTGGAACACAGCTTGAAAATCCCAGATCCGGGCAGTCTCATATTCACTGCCCTGCTGTCTCAGAGAATCCCTGGGGTCTGGAGGCCCAATGTCCACGGGGTAACTGACAAGGCTTGAGATGGCACAGTTCATCTGATGAGGACGCTGCCTCCTGGATGACAGTGCATCTGACCTGCCGTAGCTGCTTCTGGAACGGGTGCTCTTCCGGGGGAGCCCGGGCTCTGCCACCTGGAATGTCCCTGCCGTCTGAGGATCGGGGAAAGAGGACCTTTATGGGGCAACGGGCATGGCTCACGCAGCTTCGGGGGGCTCAGTGTTTTAAATGTCCCGACTGCTGCCCTGTTGTGTCTCCAGGCCTCCGGTGGTCACTCCCTGAGGCCCTTGGGGCCCCTCAAAGTCTCCTCGGCCGTCTGACTCTGGCACAGAAGCAGGAAGTGATCAGATTTTCCCCAGAGCTGCGCAGTCTAGGCCTCTGGCTCTCACTGGCTTGAGTGAGAAGTAACTCAGGATCAGCATTCTGCTCCTCCATAGGAAGAAACACATACTGCACAGCCCGGCATTCAAAGCCATGACATTCCCCAGATGTGAATTACATGGGCTAATGCACACAAGGCAGTTACTCCCCATCCTTTTTCATGCCCTGGAGAAAGCTAGATACAAACATTAATAACAGTTCCTGGGGAAAGTGGAGCAAGCTGCTCATGGCTACCCAGGGGGCTGAGGGACAGTATCTCAGCACTCCTCAAATGGGCTGTGGACATTTGAGCATGCCACCTTGGGATACTCACACGCAAAGCATTTAGCAGAAGGCCTGTGACTGTGGTTCTGACCCTTGGCTGTACGTTTCAATCCCCGGGGGAGCTTTAGGAAATACTTTGGCTCAGGCATCACCACAGACCCATTGTCTAATGATCTTGGGTGGGGAGGTTCAGGCATGACTATATTTTTAAAGCTCCTCAAGGATTCTGTAGCACCAGCAGGTTTGAGAAACAATGGGCCAGGACAAGGGGAGTGTCCCGCAAATGCCACCTATTTACAGTAAAACCCCCTAGGTGTCCTGGAATGTGCTGTTCTCCTTGCCGGACCCCCGTAAGGGCTGGGTGGGGTCGGGTCGGGGCCGGGACTCGCAGAGGTAACTGCTGCTCAGGAGAGATGAATGCTGGGTAGGGCAGCCTGGCATCCATCTCCCTCAGCCACGTCTCGGAAAATTCAATTAAAACTCATATTTTTTTAGCTGCTGCCCGCCTGGCTGGCTGGCTTGTGGAAGGGATCTGAGGCAGTGAGCACCTCAGGGGAGGGAAAAGCTGTTGAGAAAACCCCCAGCCTCTCTCCCTAGGGGACAGAAGGCAATGCAATGGGTCTTTGGGGAGAAGACCATTCCCAAAGGTGGTTCCTTCAGCCTCCCGTCGCCCTGAAGCCAGGTGGGAATGGATAGGCTGGCTTGGAGGATGAGGGAGGTTTTGGCCCTGTCATTGGGGAGGCCCAGTCTGGGGGAACAGACTTGGCGTAGCTCCTAAAAAAAAAACCAAGATTGTTTCCTGCATGGGTGGAGGACAGTCCAGAGAACAAACAGTCCAGGGCACGAAAGCTCGGCGTGGGCCTCCAGCACGATGGGGTGGCTGACCGGGTAGAGCATGCTAAGCTGGGCCCTAGACACAGGCCTCAGTCCCCAATATGATAGGAAAGTTACCCATATGTCCTCAGTCTAGCCCTGTGGATCCTCTGGGCTCAGGCATTTTCTTTTTTTTTTTCACAGAGAAGAAGGCTAGACTAAGCCCTGAATCCCAGCTCTGATGCTCACTTCCGTGCCATCCCCAGGCCGATGTTACGAGATAGGCTCAGATTAGATCGATCCGCAAGGACCTCTAGCCCAGGTAGCACCTGGGGAGATTAGAGAGGCGCCCCCTCCAAGACTGACTAGAAACAGTGCTCCTTTTGGGTGGACTGCATGCCTGGCAGTGGGCAGAGCGGGAGCTGGATTTCTAACCTCCCGCGCCCCTTGGTCAAGTCCCTCTTGTATGGGGCACGAATTACACAGTGGCACCTGGGGCCCTGACTGTTCCTGAGCTGTGGCCAGCTAGGAGCTCACCTTCCCACCAGGGCCCGTGAAGAGGTGAAGGGAGTGGGAGCAGAGCACGGCTGACCTTCTCCCCTGGCCGGCGGTCGCCCAGGCAGAGAGGAAGCTGTGCTGAAGCCGTGCACCGTGCCAGTCTGCTCACTGCCCACACCATGGCAGACATCTGGAGACGCAGAACAGCGAGCAGGGGATCCAGAACCCAGAGTGCGCCCTGGAGAATTCAGAGTGTGGAATAAACCTGGAACTGAATGTAGACCCCCCAGAGCCCAGGGGATGGGCCTGATCACAGACATTTCCAGAATGAACTGGCCTACAGTTGGTGACTCTGATCTCCACCCGTCCTCACGCTCCTGGGATCCCCACATCCCTCGCTCCGTGCTCCCCTCTTGTCGCTGAAGCGAGGCTCCCGACAGCCTTTCCTCCCCTCTAATGACATTTCACAGTTTACAGAGCACTTTCACACACAGCATCGCATTTGATCTTCACAACCCTGGCTGGAGGCGGATGAAGCAAGCAGGCTTCTAGGGGCTAGGGCAACAAGCTAGGAAGGGGTGTAGCCAGGTCCAAAGGGAAGTCCTGTCTGTCTGTCTGAACCTGGCATGACAACTGGCCCTCCTCTCTCCAGAGAGGTCTCACTGCTTTTTTGATACGGAGAAAGACTGAAGTTCTCCTCCAGGAAGTTTTCCTGGACTGACAGGAATGTGAATCATGCAGCTCAGCAGTGAGATGTACCAGCGGGGCCAGCGTTCACTGTGCAGTAGAAGGAAACCATCGACCTGCCATGTGGGCCTGGGAAACTGCTCACACCTTCACGTCTTTTAACTTTCCATTATGGATTCCTGCTCTATCTTCCAGTCCTCTTCTCTTCAGTTAAACTGAAATCTCCAAGGAAAGGCTCGAGTCTGCTTCCCCTCCCTCCTCTTCCTTGAAGCTTCCTCAATAAGGCGCCCACAGCCAAGATTTGGCCCACGGGAAGGCTGGACAATAACTGACCTGAGTAGGGGAGGACAGAGCCTAGTTGCAAAAAGATGGTGTGGTGGGAGCTCTTGGGATGCTTCCGCCTGGGGTAGTGACCAGAAACAGAGCCGGGGCAGGTGGCCGCAATGGGATGGGGGAGGGGTGGGCAGAGGGAAGTGCTTTGCCTGGGGTGAGTTCTCAGGCTTGGTTCCACCCCTGACTGGTTATGTAGGTGACCTCGACCTAGTTCATTCCCCTCATTAAGCC